CTTCTTCTTCTTCTTCTTCTTCTTCTTCTTCTTCTTCTTCTTCTTCTCCTTCCATTTCCTCCATCTGTTGTTGTATTTGATAATTAACAAGCGCCATTTCTAAAAAGAGAAAGGCTTCTTTCACAGCGTCCTTTCTTTCTTCATATTCAACAGATAAAGCCATTCTTTATTCTTCTTCTTAAAGCAACCAAAATGTTTCAAAAGTTAGAGCAATTCCCCAAAATTCCAGAGAGAGTTAATCAGTCCAAACAAAACACAAAGTTCTCACTTTCTCTTCCTGGTGAGGTATCAAAGGGAAAGGAAAAAACCTCCAATCTATATTTTAAAGCCTTGTTACAATTAATTTCTGGTCTCAAGATCTTCAAGGCATCTCCTCCAACAAAATCTTTATATATATTGTCCTCTTCCTTCCCACTTATAACAAGAAGCCAAGTTTTTACCTTTTATAAAAAAAACAACAGGTTTCTCAATGGCCATTTGTTGATTCCATAAGGAAGGAGAGTGAACTTTCCCTTTCGGCACTCAATTTTGCCATTTGAAATCCTCCTCTGGAAACGAAGTATTGTTCAGAAAACCATAGTTCTCAGGATTAAACGCCTCTTAAAATCCTGGGTCAGCCACAAAAACTTTCTCTTAACAACTTTCTCCTCTCTTCCTCCTGCTCAGTCTTACCCAGCTGCCGGCTTCTTTGAGGCGGCCATTACAGACCGCCGCTCGACCGTCTTGGGAGAGGGGGGTTTTGCCGGCTGGGAAGGGGGTCTGCAACACCCCCAAACCCCTCACCAGCTCCCCCCTATCTTCGGCTGCCTCTTTGTGGCAGCCTTAGCCTCCAGATCCGTAGATCGGAGGCACCAAAGCGGCTAGCGCGGCAGGGATCGCGCAGGATCGCAAATCCCTGCCGCTAGCGAAGCCGACAAACCCTACTTTTCTGCACCTTGTTGAGGCATATCTTTTTTTATTCATACATTAATTTATTAAACTATTAGATTGTACCTTCCCCCCTCCCCCGTGCCCTGTCCACTTATACCCTATTCATTTTTTGAGTGTATTCCAGCCTTGATTTCTCAGAAATACAAAACATTAAATAAGTGCAATCCAGGATATGTGTTACATATTAGAGAAATTTGCTTTTGCTTTCTTTGTTACATGTATACTTCGTTACAGTCCAATGAAAATACTTTGAAAGAGAAAGAACTGATTCTGCTGCAGCTCCTTTCTAGAGTTTTGAAATGTAAAACAAGACGTTTACAGGTCCAGCTGACCTCTCTGGTTTAATATCAAATGATTACAGTGTTTCATGGTTTTACTTTGCACT